ATGTGATGGTGTGCTGGTCAGTGTGGCTAGATTATGGGGCCCAGGTGTTTGATGAAACACTAATCCAGATGTTGCTGTGATGGTACCTTCGATAGTGTGGTTGGATCTCATCCAGTCAGTCGAAGTCCTTAAAAAACCCTTGAGGTTTCTGAGAGGAGATGAAAGACTGAAACATAGATGTCCTTCTGGAATTCCCAGCCTGCCTCCTGGCCTACCGATTCTGGACAAACAACTGGGGGAGTTTTCAGCCTATTGCTTGACCTAGTTTGGATTTTGGACTTGCCACCTGTTCTGGTTCCCTAGTGCTTCTCTGACAAGAAATATACCACAAATGGGATGACCTTAACAAATAGGAGTTTATTCTTAAAAGTTAGAGGCTTTAAGTCCAATTTCAAAGTGCCAGGCTCTAGGGGCTTGGTAAAAGTCCCTCAACCTTGGGGTTCGGCTCTGCCTCCTGCTCCAGGTCCACTGGAGCTAGAGGCGTGTCTTCACTCAGACAGCTGCTGGCTGCTGAGGCTGAGAAGCCCCAAGGTTGACAAGTAAAAAGCCACAGTCCCAATGTTACCAAACCACATGGCAGGCCATTAACTTAAATCCACTGTAAGTCCCAAGATCGGCAGAGCATAGCAGGCTGCTGAGCAATGACACAGGTACATGCAGGGTCCAAGCATACCATAAGCTAGAGACCATTCCCAAGGCTTCTCCTTAAATACAGGAAGCAGACCACATCCCAAAGGCAGCTACTCAGCTGCTTGTGGTAGATCCCACCATGGAGTTGATTGCCAGTCTCATCACGGGGAATAACTACCACCAGCTGTCCAGCCACTCAACCAGGCCTAGCCAAGCTGACATACAAACATAACCATCACAATTACACCCCTTGTCAACTTGGCACCTGTACAGATCTTCAATGGGTGGTATCTGGACAGGTCTCCTCCACTGGGTGGCTCCAGTCCCCTAGTTTCTGAATGGCAACCTCACCCCCTTGGCCTGGCAGGTGTTCCTCTCCCTCTTGGGCATGGCAGCCCCGCCTCCTCACTCTTGGGCAGCGGCTATGGCTCCATCCCACTGGCTCATATGAACGAGCAGCCCCACACTCCAGAACCAAGTTGGTGAAGGCCTGGCTCTTTGAAACCTAGGGAGCTGTGGTCATTCCACCCCCAAAGGCATGGTCCTACCCTTTCAGGCTGAGGGAGCTTTGCTTCCATTTCCTTGGTCTCGCTTCTGCCAATTAATGCTGCAGGCAACCCACTCCGCTGGAAAACCCTGTCTGAAAAGCACTCGGCTTTCTTGCTCCACGGGCTGGCCAACCAACCTGCTACTCCATTTCATGCTGGTCTCTTTTACCAATTAATACCCGAAGGCAACCCACTCCGCCAGTAAGCCGCCTAACCAAAGGTATCAAGCTTTCTCCTCCGTGGGCTGGTAAGGCTGTCGCTGTCTCATGCCCATTCTCTTGCCTCTTCTATTGTGGTCTCTCATGCCGGTCTCTTGCTCTGCTCCTGCCATCTGTCATGCCATATGTCGGGGTCTCTCTGTCAGGGTCTCGGGTCAAGGACACGCTCCACTCCTGTTTCCACATTTTAGGTTATCTGTCAGAGCAGCATCCCACTCTCTTGGTATCAAATGTGTTAGACTGGGTTCTCTAGAGAAACAAAACCAGTAAAGAGAGAAAGAGAAATTTATCTTAGGAAAATGGCTCACACACTTAAGAAGCTGGCAAGTCCAAAGTTCTTGGATCAAACGTCAAGCTGGAGGCTTTTCCCGACTCACACAGCTGTAGGGGTTGAGGAGCTCAAGGTTGGCAGGCAGTATAATGGCTGTTGACTCCAACAAATGATGAATCCAAGATCTCCAGGCCGAATGGTGGACTGTTTGCTCACAGACAGTTGTAGGCAGCACAACAAAATCCCGATCCATAGAAAGAGTGTCTCTTTTCCCAAGATGTTCATAAATATACTAGGCCACACCCCTAGAGAAACTCCCTTTCAATGGATTGGCTGCTCCAAACATACATCTCTGATGCCATTGTGGGAATAACCACATCACAACTGTTTAAACCACACAGAATTGTGGTCCAACCTGACACACAGCTCCAACTATCATACCACCCCATATTGCATGAGCCAATTCTTAAAATAAATTCTCTCTTTCTCTCTCTCTCCACATCCTATTGTTTCTGTTTCTTTGGAGACCCTGACTAATACAGGTGGCTACAATGTGCAAAGTACATGAACAGTGCTTCTCAAAAAATGATTTAGGAATTCCTGTTGCCTCTTGTGGATCTTTCTGGAAGTTTCTTTTTCTTTTTTTTTTATTTATTGTAATTTGGGTGAAGATTTACA